CTTAACAAGAAATAGCATTGAATTGACTTTTGAGCTGTTGGATAAATCACCATTATATAATTATGCTAGATTTTGTATTAGACTTTATCCCAATTGTTGTTTTCAATTGGTGACAAAATCCAAATTATATATTTTAGAAAATAGATTAGTAAATTTTATTTTAAATCATTCAGCAGTTATTAAAGAGTTTAGTGCTGTTAAAATAGATCCTTGTCTAGTAAATAATTGTCATAGATTTGATAATAGTTTTCAGAACCTTAATACATTAATTTATTATGGTGATAATTTTAGTAATGAATTTATTGATAAATTAGCAAATATTTGCAAATCTATCCAATCATTAGAAATATTTGGTAAATGCAATAAAAAATTTGAAGATAGTCTGACTCAACTAATCAAAGCACAGAATAAAATAAAGGAATTAACCATTTGTTTAGACATTGATCAACCTTCAGATAATTTCAGAAAAGCAATTCTTGCACATTCACAATCGATAATTTGTTATACAAGTAATGGATTAAATAATATGGATCATATATTATTAACAGCATTTAACAATTTGAAGACTTTAAGATTAATATATGATTTCAGAATAGAATGGTTGAAAAATATTTCACTAAATATTGAATCTGTGGAGATATATGCTCATGGGCAACAACTTCTATCAGACTTGCCTGATTTTATTAACATCAATGGAAAAACTCTTAAATATCTGGATGTTGATGGTAATCCATTTAATATTGAATTTTTTGGAAAGCTATTTCAATCAATTGCATTATGGTGTAAAAATCTAGTAGGCTTGAGAATACTTTATAACAATGAAGTAAACCAGGAATTAACTGATGTAATCAATAATTGTATTAAATTAGAAAGTATTATGTTTTATAAAGTTAGTCCTGTGGATATATTTGATGGTGATAAAATACTTTCAGTACTAAATCAAGCATTACCAAAAAAATTAAAGTCAATAATACTTCCTTGTAAGTTTTCTACTATTAATGTCAATTCTTTTGATAATCTTACGAAGAACTGGAGAGGCCCTAGACCTTTTACAATGATATTTGATGATTGTCAGAAATTAGTGGATTGATCAAGATTTAGAATTTTTAAACTAAATTTATATAAATGTTTATATTTATTTATTTTATTTGATTTTAGTATTAATTGAAATGTGAACATATAATAATATGGAATATGCTGTTCAAAATGGAATAGAAATGATATTTCAATTGTAAGAGTTATCAATTCTTTTTGGAAACATCAGTAATTGAAAAAAAAATTATTTTTTGTAACATTATTAAATTTTTGCAATAAACTAAAATTAATTATTTTAATATAGACATGTTAATATCTATACAGCTACAATAATTAGAAGCATTTATCCCTAAGCACATAATCCAAGAATCCCAATTTTTGATATTTCTTTAATATTTTAACCAATCATAATTTATCCATACAATTATCCCATTCCCTTGAAAACTTTATAAGAAAAGGCATGGTACCTTTCCAATTTCTTCTCAGGGTGTTGAATGATGCATCAGAAACAGTCATCAGGTTGTCAAATTTCATTACTTTCAATCCCACAGGTTGTGTTTTTGTCAAAACGTCAAACAATTTATTACCATTCACATTGTTGTAGCCAACTGAACTGAAATGAATCTTTTGTAATTTTCTACAATTTTCAAATACTTGAATCAAAAGTTGTTGATCTTCTATTTGATTCTCATAGACTATTGCCAACTCTTTTACATTTTGACAATGTTGTGCTATTGTTTGAAAGAGCACCCCATAATTCATCTTGTCTTTGTCTTTTGGAACAGTGGTGTTATTTCCAGCTTCTTTGATGTCAAGTACAATATTTACTATCTTAATATCTTGACAAATTTTTGCCAAGTGTCCATAAATTTTATTGTTAAAGAAGTAACCACCATTAACTTCATGGAGGTGCTCAAAACATTCCTTGAATCTGCTATGATTAAACAACCAACCATCATGTAAATGTACCATACAAACTTTTTTGATGATTGATGAATGATCTAAAATAAATTCAACCAAGTATTCTACAAATGCTTTGTATTTAAAATAATTTGGAATTTCAAACATGTTACCAATTGCAAAAGTTGGTGTGATATCCAATTCTGTGGTGTATTTTGCATAGTTGTGCAATGGTGGTTTTTTTAATTGTTTGAACCATATTCTTATATCTTCGTCATCTTCATCCTCATCAACACAACTATACTTCACCTTTTTCTTCCTTTTCTTGGTCAGGAAATCCTTGTCTTCGACCAATAAGCAATTAATTAATATTCTTACACTTTTGTATGAGTAAAATGGGTTCCACCATAATATTGGTATGCTAAAGTTGTGCCAGTATTTGTTCACTTGAACGCATTTATAAAGCAAATTATAATCATTTTCAATGTATTGGAATATTTCTAGTAATAGTTCTGGTGGTAAATTCATTTTATGGTTTTTTTTTTTTTTGGGTGATAAATTTTTTCTTATTGACGCATGAAAGAATTTCATTACTAATATTAATATTAATGTGTTACAGCAATGCGCGTAATTTGTTAAAAAATTGTTTTTATTTAAACCCTTTGTACATTTGTACATTATATATATAATATATATAATAAAAAAATATATTTGATAATTATAAATATTTCTAATTAAATTAATAATCTACTTTTTTTTTTTTAATTTTAATTATTACTTAATGTTGTTTAAATTATTTCAAGTTTCACTTCTTTATTACCACCATTCTCAGCTTTTTCACTTTCTTTATCAATAGTTAGAGAAATTCTTTCATTGCTAATAAAACTTTCGTTTTTCTCATTAATTGAAAGTAAAGATCTAACTTCTTCTGTTGAGAAATGTTTAGCATCCAACGCACTAATTCGTTGATTTTCAAATGGATGATTTTCATCAGTAAATACCCAATCATCTATTGTTGGAACAGGATGTGAAGCAATTGTATTGAGTTCATATTTAATTATTCTAAAAATAAAAATTATATATATAACAAATAAAAAAGAAATAATAATTATTAATAATATAATTTTAATTAATTTTAACTTTTTCACATTCTCCGCCCTCTCCTTCCAATCTCCCCCTCATCTTTTTTCTTTTACTCACCCACAAAAATCATCCAATGGTAAATCATTATCGTCGTAACCAAATGGATTCTCAATCTCGGCGCCTATTCTTTCAATACCAAGCAAAACTACACAAGCAAAGAATACAATAGGAATAGTTGCCCAATGAGCCGTACCCATCAATTGAAAAGGTAATGACAAACAATATATCCAGACGGTCTGAGCCAAATGAATAGAATAGGCAAGAGGAATTGGACTTCTCAACACCCTTTCAAATTGTGATAAACAATCCACCATGGTATTGATACAATTAAGCATATTTGTGGTAACTGGAGCAGTGATTCTATTTTTGGCGGCATTGTCATGAACGTAAGATGATAAGTAAAGACAGATTTCCAATGGTAAGTTGTGATTTACATCGGAGCCACTTTCTTTATCAGCTCTCAAATGAGGTTTTGATGTCCTGTGCAACAATTGATCCCATAATGTTAGTCTTTTTCTAGTTGGAACAAATGTTGTTTTTTGATTGAATCCAGGTAATGCAGAATGGATATTGGAAATCAAGGGCCTAATATCATCATATAGACAACCGTCCTCCTCACGTAAAAAATGTTTTGTTGCAACTGCAAATCCTGTTAATAAATTGATTGCGGTTTTTTTCTCTAGTATTATTTTAGTGGTGTTATTATCATCTATGTGTACCCATATAAATCTTGTGAAATTACGTATTGCCACTACCATAGTAGCCCACAGTCTACGTCCTTCCCAATACCTTATAGAAATATATATATAATATTAATATAAACAATTATATTAATAATAATTAAAACTAGCCAATTGATTGATTACCTATCGTAAGCAGTATTGGTTCTATAGGTAAGCAATAGACCAACCACCAGGCCAAGAACGGTAATTAAAGAAATGGGTATACTAAGATTTAATTGATTGAATTCATATAGAGAGACTATGCCAGCAGAGAATAAGGTGATTATTACAGAAGAACCAATAACATTTGGTAAAACCGAGCCTTTAAGTTTGAATAAATGAGATTTTTGAGATTTATACGGATTAAAAACTTTTGGACTCTCGACATGTTTCATGCTATGTTCTAAATCGCTCATTTTTGCAAATTTTTTAATTAAATTTTTATTTTTATTTATTTAAATTATTGAAATATTGTTCGAAAAATTTAAAAATTTAATTTTTTATCATTATTTATATATTTTTTTACAAAATTAATTATTTGTATTGTTGTGTAATCATTTTCTATTTAAAGATTGGTAGGCGTGCGAGATAAACAATAATTTAAATAATAAACAATGTAATTGATTAATTTTATAATGTATGACGTCAATTATAAATCGAGAAACATTATTGTTACACGTTTGTTCCTTAAAGTTGCCTATTATTATTCTAATAAGGGAGATGGTTGGCGATTACAATTAAATTTGAAACTACTCCTTCACGAAAATTCTGGCTTGGTATTATTTTTACCCATATTGTGATTGGTTGGCTTTGAGATGATCCTTCTAAATTTGATCTATATTCACAAACAGTCGTGACCCTGTTGCGGTAGTAGCCTAATCTATTAATCACATAGTCCTCTTTGTCTTGTTTTTGACATGTTTTTTGAGACATAATAACAAAATTAGTTGCTATATTTGTCCTCCATAATGGTAAATAAAATTTACGATACTCTTTATGAACTAAATCTAAAACAATAATAATGACGATCGGTTTGACTATATTTTTTTTTCAAACCAAAATGGAGCTTATTCTAAAGACGCCACTAAAATTGATAATTTTTTTGAAAGTACGTGATTCTATCTAGTTAGAACTTTGTCCATAACGCCAACGAGAATTTAACTTATATGTTACGAGTGAGAAGGAGATCGTTCCTGCATATAGTGTAGTTAATATTGACAAACTTTTATTTTATTTTCTTAAAAAGAAAGGTTAAAAAAAAAATAAAACGTATGACACAACATCCCAAGGCTTAGTTTCCTTCATCATATCAACAAAAATGAATTCTACGAACAAAAAGTTCGACGACGACCAAGTGACTTGTATATATATATATATATATATATATATATATATATATCAATTAAATTATTATTGAGCAGCGATGATTTGAGAATACGTGAGTGTCTCCACAATAAAGAGAAAGTGAACCAATAGAAATTACGTGAATATGGTAAATTAAATAATTTTCTTTTTTGGACGACAGCATTTTTTTTGTTACACGGCAAATTTTTAAATGAGAAAATTCGTTTTGTCAAAAAAATTTACATGTGACTCATAATAGGCCGATGATGATTTTTATGCGTTCTGCATAATAATGTCGCATAATCAAAACTGCATAGTCAATCTTAAATAAAGGAAATAAAGAAAAGGAAACTCATGGTTTTTACTTTTTTAACTGCATAATAATTTTTTTGAGTTAAGTATTAGTACTGCGGTGATAATCACCGCCAGTGAGAAATAGCAATCCCTAATAATATTATCATCATCATTTCTAATAAGGAAGATATTTTTATTTCTCTATTATAATTATTTATTTGCTATTCTTTAAATCTAATTACTTTCTTTAAAGCTTCATAAGCTTCTCTTTAATAGTAACCGCTGGTTCTTCATTGTCTTTGTCACCATCTTCAATTTGCATATCTTCTTCTAAAGCCAGTCATTTCAACAATTTCTGTATCACTAAGAGTATCTTCAATTACAAGTTGTTCATCAATTTCTTGTTGATCAGTTAAAATGGATTGGCAAACTCGTCATCTTTATTCACCACTGAATTTGTTTGTAAACTTTGACCACCTCGGAGAATACTTGTCTTGTCTCAACAGTTCTTTATTGTTGTAGTTGATCACATGATAATAGTCTGCTCCAAATCGAGCTTGAACCTAAAAAAATCAATATGAGAAAAAATCTATGTAAAAAATATATAATTGAAAGGTTACTGACTTTTTAATATCTGCGCCACTTTCAAATTGTCTCAAAACACACCAACAATATAAATGTTATATTTTGACAACTGAAGAGGAGTTTTATCATGATTTAAAAGAATGTGAACTTACATTATCTACAAACAGTAATGTTTTCCTGTTTTTATTTTGGGAACACTTTATCAGAATGTATCCAAACTTTTGAGTTGTACTTGTAAATTATAAGTAAACTTGAAATATTAATTGTAACAAAACATCTAGGTCCTTCATAATGCCCAATTACTAATGGCTTCAATTTTTCAGCACCAGTCTCATTTGCATTCAATGCATTTATAGGTTCAAATCTTGAATCACCTCTTGTAAATTCCTTCATTCTTCTGGAAGTGATTCAATGGGAACACTTACTCCTTTACCATGGAATCTATAAAAGACTTTTAGATCCATCCATTGAAAAAAGGAAATCATCTTCATCTATTCCTAAAAGATCCAATCTTTTTTCATTCAATAGAATAGCTGACGCTAATACCTGTTCTACCCAATGACTTAAAGCTTGATCAAGCAATGGAAATTTAGGATTTTAATTCGAAATTTACTTCTAGAAATAGAATTAATATCAATACTTGGCCATTTTCTACTTTCTTTCAATATTTGATAATTGTTGAATGACCAATGCCTCCTAGGTACTTTTAATTAAAAAAGTACACAATACTTTTACTTTGTTGCTTAGAATGCTTTTTAGCATAAATACATGTTTCTTTTCTAAGTTCATCACTGATCTTTTTTTCCTTATATAAAGGCAAATTATACTAGAAATATCACTGAAAAAATGTTCTGGTTCTTCTGATACAAAGTGCCCTTATATATCAAATTGGCCCGTTACAGCAAATGAGTTCTTGGAAAGAGGTATTCTTATATGGATTGAGGGTTCTTATATCTGTATTAATTTTTTAATTTCGGTGAAATTTAAATCATTAATATTAATTATATTGTCATCGATTATTCACCGATTATCCAGTTGATCGGGCGTTGAATATAATAATATTAATAATAAAACTAAAAATTTTTATCCGCGTAGTTGAATAAATTTTTTTAAATACTATTTTATCCAACATTCTTTCTATTATATATCGAGTAATATGAATACCCAACAGTGTCATTATTAGCCGAAAATATTTATGCATTGCAACAACTTCTACTCCAAGTAAGTGTCTATTTAATGAAGCTGGAAGCACAATGACAGCCAAATGAACAAAATTGGATACACTCAGTGGATATTCGATGAATGACTGATTATTCGGGCGTTGAATTTTATTATTAATATTGTAAATCAAAATAAAAAAAAAAGAAAATAACAAAAATAAAACAAGAAGTGCGGAAGGTAAGTATGAGCCAAAAAAGGTATGTTAAAATGATAAAATTATTCAGTTCCGGATCTTTGGATATGATTGGACATTGGCGAAGAAGTAAATCATGAAAACTATTATGAATTAAAATCTTTGACACTGGTGATAGTGAATTTGGATGTCGATGATGAAGGTGGTTGGGGTGATGTGAAAGAGGAGGTTAAGATAGATATAAAACTCAAATTGGAGTGGAGGGAAAATACTCAATTAGGAAAAACTAAGAGAAGTTTCTTCATTACATGAAAGGTGAGACACCAAAATCATATCGACTAGTGCTGAGTGAATATATATATAGAAATAATGTATTATAATTATAATTAGTATTTTGATATGGAACAAGTGCGGAATATTTTTGGTCTGGACAATAAAAAAGGATGTTTTCGAAATATTACTGTACAAAAGTGGGTATAATTTCTAAGTCAAAGAGTTACACATTATAGTCCTTTTCTGTTGTCCTAAACTTTTCTAAACTGTATGGAAAAATCTATCTATTAATATGCATATTGTATTCTGTACATAATTTTTTATAGGTTTGAAAATTGCGTTTCAACGAATTTATAATTCATTGAAACAAGATTCCCAGAAACAAAGATTAATTTATTTATATGTGATAAATAGTGTGTGTCAGTTTGGATTATGTTGTTTGCCGCAATTGTTTGGGAAAAAAGTGATTATGGCAATAATTATATTCTTAACTATATATTAAATATGCCATTAAAAGTATAATTTTGGCAACTATTAGTTAATTATGGCAAACTATGAAAAACCAATTATTATTATGGAATTACATTTATTAAGGAAGAGCAATTATGGAGAACAAATTATAATCCGAAACAAATCATGACTCATTGAACTAATTTATCTATACATTAGAAATTATGTATATTGGTTCGATTTATTTATAGCCTTATTGGTAGTTCATTATGTAATAATTTGATTTCCATCTACTACCTTTGAAAATTGTAGAAGAAGAGTTTGTCTCAATGATGACCGTGTGTGCATCCCCACCTCAGTGAAAAATGGTTGGAGACAATTTAACATTAAAGAAGTTTAAGAAATTAGTCATTTTGCGTTTTAATGAAATTTCTACAATGGTACTTTATTACTTATCAAAATACCTTGGTGAAATCATAATAAAAAATAATAAGATTTATCTATCATAATTTTTTATTTTCAATTCCTTGTTTGATTAAAAGTAGTTCTTTTTTTTTGAAGTATATAAGATAATACCTTTGATTCGAAGCAATACTTGCATGACTGGAGGGACTTTTCATAGCGAGAAAATTTGGGTAGTCTGTATGTTATGTGATGTCAATTAGATGACTATGAAAGAGAGTTCGAAGGACATGGAAATTTTACATCCATAACTTTATTGTTGTGTTATAAACCAAATATCATGACTAATACAAAATTAATTAGAAACTATCATCTAAAAAAATAAAATAAATTGTTTTTCCCAAAAAACTAACTCACGTCCCAAAAAAAATGGGTACCAATTATATTTCTTCCTTTTTTCTCTTTGTTGACCAACATAGCAATAGCAATGATTAACACGTTTACAATTCATAAATTCAAGTATAAAGTACGAATATTCCACAAGTTCTTGGAATACATGGTTGAATTTAGAGAAACAAACAGCTCGATGTTTGCTGAATGTTTTTGAGGCGAGTGTCTTTTCATTTTTATTTTAATCACTATTGGCAGGCAATATGGAGGGCTGAGAAGGAGAGCATACTTCCACGACTTCTGCAATTGGACCAGGTCAACTATTGGAACAATATATTTTTACTTATTCGATATTTGTTATATATTTAATGATTGTCTGACTCAGCATAGAATAACCAATATTTAAGTTAGCCTCTTCTTTTAATTGTTGTTAGACTCTATAATTTTATTATGGTTGAAAATCACTTTAAAACTTTCTGAAGCGGATGATAATAATTTATTCATATTGAATGACATTTGATCTGTAATGTTTTGCAATTGTTACCTTGGAGAACAATAAAAGCAAATTCTGTATCTTGAAGAATGACTGTTGTCCTCATGTTTACATGAATTCTTGAAAAAACTTGATATTCTTTTCTTTTACTCATTATTTAATAATTTCTTTACATATCCTGGGTATTCGCTACATCCTGGATCTTGCGTTCAGATTTTTTTTGTCATGAATGATATTTCTCAACTCTACAAACGAATTTATTACCACTTCTTATAGTAGTAGTAGTATACGATGACCTAAGATTCGGTCTCCTGGATGTAAATTAAACTAGAGTGACGACAAATGGCGATAACCACTATTCTTTTTTTTGAATAGCTCTTACCCCTTTGGCAAAATTTTTTTAATCATATTTTAAAGAGAAAAAAAAAAAATAAAAGTTTTATTAATAATAAAGCCAGTATTAATAAATTCAACATTAGTTTTAAATTCTTTTGCTATCCAAATATTGACACAATTATTTACTTCAGGGTGCTTTTAATGAACTAGACTATAAAAAAATAGATAATTATTATTATTATTAAGCAACAGTCAGGATCGCGTAACGAACGTCTAATACAATGATACCTTATCAATTTTTGCCTTTTGTATAATATGTCATACCTGGATCAACTTTATAATTTTGTAAATTATTTAGAATGTAGCTTTTGTAATCATAATCTCAATTCTTACATTAACATTTAATAACCAAAAAAGCAAATGATCTTGATAAATTTATTTGCTTGTGTTAAATTTTACAAAAGGGAAAATTTTTCAACCGTATAACAAGCACGTTAATTCCGTATTTATTTTTTTTTAGAACGTACTTAAACATATGTTATTTTTATAGATTATTAGGAAGATTATATTATTCTTATGTGATAATTATTTATATGGAAAATCTTAAAGTTCTTTTCATAAGAAAATATCAATATTAACCTGTGTAATTTACATTTGACAGAAATCACCTCATGCCATTAATTTTCAAGTTAATACTAATATCAGCAACTGTTCTTTGCCATCTAATTGATGTTTGCTGTCAATAATAGTAATAGTATCAAATATCATTACAATATAATATAAAGATAAATATAATAATAAATAAAATAAAATTACATAAAAACCTCACAAAATAATTAATTAATATAAAAATCCTAAATCTTGATATTTTTTTAATATTTTCCTTGATTCATCATCATTATACCGAAAGTCCATTGTTAAAGGTTTAAATCCTCTCCAATTCTTCATTAGAATATCTAACAAATTGTCATTAAGATTAGAAACAAAATCAGTAGAAGTTATTAATCCCAAGTTTTTTGGTAGTGTTTGATTTAATACTGTTAATATTTTATCACAATCAAGTTTATAAAAATTGTTTTCATTGAAACAAGCATTATCCAATGTAATACTTTTTAACTTTGTACAATTATTGAGTACTTCCATTAATCCCTGATTTAATTCATCATAATAAATTATTGACAAATTTTCTAAATTTTTACAAGATTGTGCAATTGATTGAAATAGCTTCCTCATAGTTTTGATATCTGTATTGTCATAATATTCACCCATAACATCCAGATTTTTAAGAGTTTTTCCATTGACATTAATAAAATCGGACAAGCCTGATAGGAATGGTTGATATTCAATATACACATTCACAGATTCAATATTTGGTAGTGAAATATTTTTCAAGTTTTTTAGTTTGTAATTAACAGTAAATACTAAAGTTTTTAAATTTTTAAATGTTGGTATTAATAAATCATCCAAATTGCTTCCTCCAATAGTTTTGTAAAAAATTATTGATTGTGAATGTGTTAATATTGCTTCGTAGAATTCATCTGGTAAAATTTGTCTAGATTTAATGACCAAGTATTTAATTTTCTTTTGTGCCTTAATTAGCTGTGCCAATTTATGTATATTTTTATCATTACTACGATTATATACTCTTAATGATTGAATATTTTCACAAACTTTCATTAATTTATCAAAAAATACACTACTATTATTTTTATCAGAACCAAAACACTCTAATTCATAAATATTATGAAAGATATTATTAAATCTATGATGATTAACTAACAAATTATAATCTATATAATCCACAGTACCAAACTCTCTGATACCTGCTGAATGATCTAAAATAAAATTTACTAACTTATTTTTTAAATTTACACAATCTATTAATGTACCATTTTTTATCAGTTGGGAACTATGAAAATCAAAAAATATTGTGCTACTAAATCTGGCATAATTATATAATGGTGGCCTTTTCAATAGTTCAAAAGTTAATTCAATGCAATTTCGAGTCAAGAAATCCTTATCTTCTTCCAATAAACAATTAATTAATATTTTGGTACTATTTTTATAAATAAATGGATCTCTCCATAAAGTCTGAATATTAATATTGTGCCATTGTTTGTTGACAAGAATACAAGAATATAATGTTTTATAGTCATCTTTGATGTATTTGAATGTTTCAGTTAGAAGTTCAAGTGGAAAATTAAACATTTTTTTTTTTTAGAAAAAAATTTTTTTTTGCGGGTCACATTAATAATCATGAATTTTTATATGTTACACGAAATTTTCCAAATTGAGAATAAACATAAGCGTGAACCCACTTTATTTTCTCAATTTTATAATAAAAAGAAATTTTGTGTTAAAACAAAAATTGGAAGTTAATTGGATTTGTCCACTATGTTCTCTGGTTCCTATTAGAATTAATAACAAATAATTGACACATTAACAAATTTTGAGTTTAATTAAATTCAATTATTTTTGGAAAGCTTCATCAAGCATACATGAAACATCCTGCAATTCCAGTTTTGAATTATTTACATAATAAACAATCAATCTTGTTTGAACTTTATGATTTATTTATTATACAAATTTGAAATTATAGAAAAAAATGATCCAAATTTAGAAGAAAAATAAGAGGTTGGAGACAATTATAATAATAGTAATATAATAAATACATAATAATAATAATGTAGTAGATTTAGTCATTATTTGTGAACAAAGCATTCTTACAGTAGCTATTTCGGCCAGGGGGTCATAACAAAAATTGCAGTTGCCAACCAACCTAGCTACGCCACCATGACATGGACAATACCAGAGACTTTCCTGATAGCCACAGCCTAAATAATAAAAATAATAAATTATAATCAAGATAATGTGCGAAAATAAAGGTTCATAACTTGATGATTTACCTAGTTCTTTACCACAGTAGTAACCAATACCTCTACCCCTAAAGCATCTTGCAAGAGAAAATGTCAGGAATGAGGAATGTCAATGAAATTAACAAAACATATGAAATAGTTCATAGCTGTTGAAAAAGAAACAATTCAATAATTTGATATAAAACATTTGATTGCCAGAAATTTTTAGCTGCTTTATCTATTTAAGCATTACAGTCATTCTCTCCTTCCTTTTGTACATAAGGTTAATCTGACCATGGTTTTTTGATTATAGCCCTGAAATTTACTAAACTCATTGTTGTCACAACTTCATTCTAGAGTGTGATAACACAAAATAATCATTACATGTATGGTAACAGCCAAGACTGGTTTGAGGGGAAGATAAAGCTCGCCTTGTCAAAGCCTTCCAACTTGCTCAAGTCACTTTCACTTGTGGAAAAAAATTCCATAGTTTTGAATTGCACAGCATTTGCTTGTTAAATAGTAACAAAAACCTAAATCACGTTATTTTATTTTATTTAAGCAAAAATATAAATTATTTGGTGTAGCTTTAGATGGTTAAATGATCCAACTCTGAATGAGTTGTTATGCAAACTTTTAAAATATTATAGATAGTTTTTTTTAATAATCAAATTTTTATAACTAAATTGTAAAATTCTTCATATTCTTTGGTGCCTGAGTAACAACAAATTTTTTGGATAAAGATAATGTTTAAGGTTGTAAAACTATTACATCAAATTCACTACCAAATGACACAAGTAAAAGCACTTGACGTAAATAAAATTGCTTTAAAGCCTAATAAAATATAAAAGCTCATATAAATATAATGTAAGAAGTACTCGAATGTACTAGTAAATGAGTATGTGTGAAACTGAATTTGCGTCCAGTAAAAGAAAAAATATAGTTCTTTAGAAATAAAGGAGAAATTAGACGTGATCAGGGTAGATAAAATCATCAATTAGGATTCAGTACTTCATGTCAGGCGGGTCAACTAATTTTAGTGTATAATTATTATTATACTATGAAGATTATACAGTTATTATTATCAGATTACTGTGTATGGAAGTTTTTATAATATCAACTAGAGTAGCAAGTAATAGATCAATAATCACCGCCACCACCTTTTTTAATAAAAAAATCAAATAATTATTATAAAACAAAATAAAACTTTTACTTATATATATTCATATACTTTATATTCATAAGAATAAATAAGCAAAAAAAAAAATTAACTTGTTTGGTAATTCAATTTTTATTCGCAATTCGCCAGAAACAGAAAGAAATTAACAATAATAACAATAAAATTTGCTTTCCGAAGATGGCCAGCACAAGAAACATATCAGCCGATTTGGTTTTTTGGGCCTTTTTTCAAACCTTATGTCTTATTGTGTCTCGATGTTAAACACGAATATTTTTAATGTGTAAACTGGTCGGTAGAATGATAATTACCCTAAAAAAAATTATTTGCTCC